CTGCTGGGACAGCACTTGATCAATGTAATTCTCATCAACCACTCTAACTAAACAGCTTTCCGAAAAGGGGGGTGGAGTGTTGCACTCTGCAAACCTCCCCAAAATGGCCCGTTTTTCGCAAAAACAGGCCCGTTTTTTTTTAGGCATGAATAGCCTTTGGGGAGCTTGCAGAATGCTCCTGCGGGGTGGTGGGGGGGCAAAAACGAGCAAAAAACAGCCCGTTTTTCACAAAAATGGGCCATTTTTTGGTCAAAAGAATTGCATGCATAGCCTTATGAAGGCTTATAGAGTGCTGCTGGAGGCTGGGGGGGGGGCGCAAAAGATGGCCGTTTTTTGCTCATTTCTGCCCTCCCCAGTCCCCAGTTGTCAGAAAGCCTCCATAAGGCTATGCATGGCCATTTTGATGAAGGGGACGGGGCTTCAGGAGGCAAAAAATGTTGTATTCAGTGTATAAGACACACCCAGATTTTCAGCCTTTTTTTAGAGGAAAAAAGGTGCATCTTATACTCTGAAAAATACGCTATGTTACTTAAAATGAACAGCTTCAAAGGAATCTGGGGATTAAAATAAACCTCTGTCTCTGGCACCTATAGCCTATAACAGTGATGGCTAACCTTGTTATCCTCAGGTGCTGAAAGTGCATGTGCGCGCACAACAGCATGTGTGCATGTGCCCACACCCATAATACCATGGGTGTGCAACACCCTACTGTGCTCCCCACCACCTGCACATGTACATGCAACCTTCAGTGCTCCCCACCCCACACCGCACATGTGTGCATGACCCCCCGCACCCTGTTTTGGGCCTAGCAGGCCTCCCTGAAGCCTCCTGGGACCAAAAATGGGATGCCTCACTCTGTCCCCACCTGCATGCCTACACTGTTACATGTGTTATGTCCGCCTTGTATGCAGCTTTATTCCTCTCTAGCATTCATCTCCATTGTTCAGTGATGCATTTCCTGCCTCTCTAGGATTTATCTCTATCTGCTCCTGTGAGGCACTTCTTGTTCCTGTTGGACATATATGGTTATATTCTCGATGGCTTGTATAGTGTTTTAACTGTATTTTGATTCAACAGCACTTGCTGCAGAGACCCGAAAATCAACTGGCCGGC